TTTTTTTTAAAAAAGGATTAATGTAGGGTTTCTTTTTTTATAAAAGTTTAAAAAATGTAATGTTAATTAATGTACATGTGTTGCATAAATTAACTTAAATAGTAATCAACGTAATTAATGTCTATTATTAATTAGCAAAAGTAAATAACTCTCTTGATAATTTATTTTATTTAAAACAAAATAAGTAGAGCTTTCTTTACATATTTTTTATTAATTTGTTTGTCCAATAGTAGCAAAGTCATTGAACGGGTGTTTAATAAATTACTTTATTAATTTAATTAATACATAACAAAAATATTTGAGTAGGTAATTAATAAATCAATCAAAAAACTTAGAAGTATATAATTTAAATTTTTTGTCTTATAAAACATTTTACTTTTATCTATTTATTAATTAAAATTTAATGTTGTGAAATTTTAAAACACTAAAATTTTATATGTCTTTATTTGCTCTACTTTATATTTATTTTTTTTATTATATTTTTTAAATTATACGCATATACTTCTAATATTTTTATTATTTTTTGAAATTTTCATTTTTTTATTTAACTCTTTTTTTTTAATAATATGCTGAAATTAGCAAATATACAATAAGTTTTTTTGATTTTTTACTTTTCTTTCATTCTATTTCTTTTTAAAATGAAAAGTAAAAAAATGTATTTAAAAAAAATAATAGTATCCTTATAAATATTTTAACACAATGTGTACAATATATTTGTTTGATATAAATATCATAAATAAGTACTAATTAGATTCATTAATTTTTATATTTATATAACAGAAGTGTATATTAAAAAATAATCTAATCATATATCTAATTAATATTTAAAAAATGAATTACATGAAAACGAAAATATATACAATTAAAAAATAGTAACACTTAACAGATGAAAATTAATTTTAATAATATAATGTATTATGAGTTAAGCACTAAATGTATATACGGTTCAATATTATAAAAATATAGTAATTAATGCAATGAAAAAATTTCTTGATAATTTAATTCTAAAAATAATGCAATCAATTAAAAAAAAAATTTCTATACAGTTTTATATAATTATAATTATGTAAAAATAATATGAGTTAATATATATAAAAAAATTGTAAAATGAAATACATGGTGTTCTTATTGTTCTAGAAGTGTATAAAAAAAAAAATTAATAAATGAATAGTTGTATATACTTCAAAACGTATATAAACGAAAAATATAATAAGAAATTATAATTTTTTTAATATTCACATTTTTTATGAAGAAAAAAAGTTAGAAAAAACTAATAATTTTCAACATCAGAGGAATTTTTTTGCTGCTGATGTAATTGATTTAATTATTAATATAATTGTTTTGATAAAGATCTTAACATCAATATATGATAAATAAAAAACTATTTAAAAATAATTTTTTAATTATCATTTGTTTATTTCCTACATATATATATATATTTATAATCTATTCTTTCATAGAAAAATTGAAATATAAATATTATCAAAAAGAATCCACAAAATTGTAAATATAAAAACGAAAATAAAATGTAAATTTTTTTAAAAAACCAATTTTTCACTTTTAAATTACATTTACATATGAATAATCATAATATTTCAATTAACAGAATTCCAAATACTTTATCTTCCATAAATAAGTGTTTAAAAAAAAATTTTATTTTTTCATCTATTAATAAAGGTAACCTCAAAATATATGTCACATGAATATTATATATTCTAACATTTTTACAACTTTTTTTTTTCTTTTTTATGTTTTTTTATTACATGTTAACTAAATCTCCTGTTGGTTAATAAAAGGCTTTACTAACCTTTTTGGAAAATAAAAGGACTAGTTATATGAGGAATACATAATTGGTCATGCACACACAAAAAAAAAAAAAAAAAAAAAGATTTTTTTTTTTTTTGAAGGAAGTATGATTTAGTTAATTTTTTTTGAGAAAATTTTATACATATAATAATAATATTTTCATATAATTAATATTTATATAATTTTTATGTATTGTCAATAATTGTTTATGTTTGTTAATTCAACAGAAATATATATTAATTGCTGAATGTAACTCATAACAAGGAAACAAGTAATTTACATTTAATTAATAATGAATGTTCAATAAGGATTTAAATGTTTAATAAAAATAAGGATTTTTATTAAAGTAAGTAAATTCCTATTGAAATTAAAGAATTCTGAACAAAGTAGATCACATAATTAAGAATCACATGTTCAAAGAATTTAAAAATATATATAAATGCATAAAAATCGTAGAAGCAACTCTACATGCTTTTTATTAATTTGTTTGTTCAATGCTAGCAATATGATTAATAAAAAACTATATTTACCCCTTTAATAATTTACAGAATGATAGAAGTTCATTTTAGAGCAATGCAGTTACATGTATGATAATTAAAAAGTATATAATGAGATATATAGATGAGAACACTTATAATAACGTTTGCATTTATAGAAATAAAATACAAGATAATTTGTGGTTAAAAGAATATTTTCTTAAATTTAGCAGAACTATGTATAAAATAAATGGTATTGTTTGCTTATTCATAAAAAAACATTACGTATGAATTTTTATTTTTAAAAAAGAAAAAATATATTTTTTTTATTTTTTTTTTGAGAGATAAATAAATATGATAATTTTTATGGTATTATATGAAAAATTACAAAGAAGTCTTAAAAAGCGTAAATATTATAACAAATATGTTAAGTTTATTATGAATTGATACATGTATAATAAGTATATAAATATCTATATAAGCTAATTTTATAATAAAATGAATAAGTAGAAATCATTATACATACTCTCTATTGACTATTTAAAGCACTATGAAAGTACTTAAATAGAGTATTAATAAAAAATAATAAAATTGAACATAAAATTAAAAAACAAGCAAATAAAAAAAAAAAATATATATATTTCATTTATTTATTTTCTTTTGTGTATTAATATTATAAGAAAAAAATTTTTATTTTTTTTCAGATTTTACTATGCAGACAACCTATGAAATTTTATTAAAAAATAAATGGCAATAATTTTATTTTTTATTTTTTTTTTAATAGAAAAAAAAAATTCATCTTAAAAACAAGAATAATAATTTTTTTTTTTTTTGGGTGATGCAATGGGTATTCTTTTTTGAATGAAAGATTAAATAATATAACGTTAGATATTACATTTGTATTGTATAGATTTGCTTAAACAATTAATAATAGAGTTAAAATTTAATATTAGTTAATAAAAATAAATGATTAATGTAATGATTTATTTTATTCCAAATAAAATATTTATAGTTATCTCTAAACTCTATTTTTTTAATTTATTTGTTCAATATTAGAAAATTTATTATGGAAGAAATTAATAAATCAATATTCTAACAAAATTATTGAATGAATAAATTAATGAATCAATAACTAAACATATAGCAATGTTTAAGTTTATTTCTTAACAAACATTGATAAAGTTCAATAATTCTATTTATCACTTCTAAATTTTTTCTATTGTTTTACGTTATTTTACTGTTTCTTCAGAACTATTTTACTCTCCTATACTCTATTTATAAATTTTGCTTTTTTATTCATTATCATCATTCTTTTATTAATAAATTAGTGTTGTAAAATTTCCTTATTATTTTTTTCTATCCACCTCTTATGAATATCTTCACAGTGTTTTTTCCATATAATTTTTTGCATTTCTAACATGGGATTTTTAATTCTATCTTCATTATTTTTTGCTATCATATCTTTATATACGTCTTTTATGTATGTTTTTTCCTTGTTATTCATTTCCAACATTAACTCAATAAACCATTTTTTCTTTTTCCATTTTTCTATTTCCACTTTTTCAATATCTAATATAGCATTCCTACTTCTTTTTTTTTTTATTTCCAATATGATAACATGTTCATCTAAATTTTCTTGTATTTTCAACTCTTCCATCATTGTTCTAAAAAAATATTCTTTTTCTTTTTGCCATTCGTCTTTCATAAATTCTTCTAATAGTGTCATATGTATTTCTATCAAAACTTTTTGTATCAATTTTTCTTTTTTTTTATATTTCTTTATTTCTTCATCTGCTTCTTGTTTAAATTATTTTATTTTATTTTTTTTTTTGCTTTTATATATTTATTTGATAAGTGTTGATTATTATTACGATGTATTTATTTTCTTTTTTATTTTTAGTTTTATATATATATAGCACAATTTTTTATTTTTCATTTTTACTCACGAAATTTAGGTAAATCATTTATATAGTATAAATGAAATCAACAATTGTCCCTTTCTAATATAACTTTTTTCTTAAAAGGTTAAATTTAATAAGACATCTTTGTAAATATTATTGGAGAATTTTAATAAGAATTTTTATTTTTTAAATTTAATTTGTTAGAATTTTTGACGTATTATTAATAAAAAGTGGTGTGTATAAATACTATAATTATTAATATTTTAACACTAATTTTTCTCTAAGAAATAATCATAAATTTAATGAAAGTGCATTTTTTATGATTTACATTTTTTTAATATTATATGTAGAAGTTGTTCTTACATGTAAAAATATGTAAAATATAAAAGTGTCTTACATTTAACATAGATATTACATGATGTTAAAATAATTTGAATATTGTACGTATTGGAGATATAGAAACTTAAATTATCTAAATGATAGTTCATGAAGTATTAAAATGATTATAATTATTATAAATTAGATTATATTCCTAAGGAAAAGAAATTATTCGTAGCTCTGATTTATTAATGGCTGTTAAATTACTTTTCTCGTGTAAAACAAATAAATTAATAAGGAAAATGTAGTGTAAACTCTACTGAATTTTAATATAAATTTTTTATTTTTATTAATAAACATTATATATGACTTATTAGTTGAATAATTTTTTTTTAATATAAGCAACACTCTAAAATGTAATTTCCTTAATATTACATTTTAGCTTAAAATAAAAGTATACATTCTATAGTAGTCTGCACATTATCCGAAGAATAATGCATTATAAAAAAATTATATCATAAAAACTAATTTTTCAATTTTTTTCATTATTTGAATGTTAATAAGAGAGTTAATATACGTATCTTTAAA